CTCAAGGTACAAGTTTGACTTTGGGATTGACTAGTCAAATACTAGTCCTCAAGTATTAAATTTCAGGATTTTAGGAATTAATTCCTTAATTGAAATAGGATTAATTACTCAATTAATTCAATAATTGAATTTGGATTTTGGGGTGTCACATCCTCTCCCCCTTCAAAGAAGCTTCGTCCCCGAAGCTTGGGTACGACGAATTAGAAACAAACGGTGATAAGAAACAACATTGTGACAAGAGGTTCAAGAACGAATTCTTTTGATCAAAACTCAAAAGATTTTACAAGAATTCCAAACAAGAAAGAAAGCATAACAATCAAGAATTGGCAAGGGTTAAACAAACGGTTGGATTGAGCATCACGAACTCTACCTTAACACAACACCAACTTCTAGTCAAACACTAAGAACAAGACAACCAACACAAAACACTCACTACTACTAGTAGGCTAACTAAACCACAAAGCATTAAGCAAAGACAAGCACGCAAGCAACACAAACAACCAACAACGGCTACAACGGCTAAGGAGACACAACTACTAAGGACAAGGCGAACAAGGTAGCCACGGCTTCTACAAGGACTCGCTCTCCGACTCCTCGGACTCTTCCTCGTCTTCTCCTCTATGACTCGAGCTGGCTTCGATCTGGTCTAGCCTGTGGTTCATGACGACGAACTGCGTCTTCATGTAGGCAAAGCCCTCCTCGATTATGCAGTTCTGCTGACGAAGCAAAGAAACAACACGCTCTTCGTGCGACATGGAGTCATGCTCCCTCTTGGTGCGAGCTTCTCTTCTCCGTCGGTTCTCTTCGCTCTCCGAGTCACTTTCTTCAGCTGCAACAGATTCTGGTGCTCCCACCTCATCCTCACGCTCGACTTCATCTTTGGCTTCCTCATCACCTCCCAAGCTTTGAACAGCGAGGCTCAACTTCCCGGCATGGATTCCAAGCTCAGCTGCCAACTCGGCCCGTTCTTCAGGTGCCTTCCTTGCAACTTCCTCAAGCGTGATGTACTCACCATCATCCATCTGAAACAGATTGCAACTCCGAAGATTGGTGGCATCCAACACTAACTTTCCCACAGCCTTCGGAAGGCAACCATCCACACTGACACCCTTCCTAACCAAGATCCAACTCAACACCATCACGTATGGTAAGCTCTTCCGATTGTGGTCCCGGCAAAACACCATGTGTTGCAACATCAAAGCAGGCAAGTTGAACTTAACCATATTCTTGAGACAGAAAGCAAAAGTGCACTCCAACTTACCCAACAACTTTCTCTTGTTGTTGTTAGGCAACAAACAGTCCGACACCAACATGACCAAAATCCTTTGCTCCGCAGACAACCACTTCTTCTTCGGCCTTGATGCTTGAGTGAACCCACTCGTACGGCCTAACAAGTAGCTCAAGTAGTCCCGGTACCCCATGGTATCCGTACTAATCCAAGAATGACCATTATACTGAGCTATTCCGGAAGCAGTCAAACTCAAAAGCTGAGCCAGCCTCTTTTCAGATAACACAACCTTAACACCTCTCACTTTAGAAGTGATCTCAAGCTTATCACCTTCCTTTGTCACAACCATGTGACGATAAAACTCTTTAACCAAACTCGGGTAAGTCTCGGACCTTATGGCGAGAAACCCATCCAACAAGCCCTGAAATCTAAGCATATCCAACAAGGAATTGGGAAAAGATTCCGGGTCAAAAGATTTACCTTCAAGAATAAGGTAGTGGGCATCCACCCATTCCGCTTTTCTAGCCAAACTTGATCTTCTAGGCATGGTAAGAGATGACCCAAAGCTCAACAACAAGGTGCCCACAACTTCCTCTTCTTCTCAACACTCTCGCTGCCTCCCTTCTCTCTCTCGCGCTCTCTCGACGATGCGACACGCAGCAGGCGGTACGGTGGAGCTCCGGTGGTGCGCCGACGGTGTGGCGGTGGCTCGGCGACGGGCAGGTGGTGGTGGCGGATTGCAAGTGAAGCTACGGGTAGTGGGTGGGGTTTCGGTGGTCTCACGGGTAGAGAAAAGAAGAAGAAGAGAAGTTGGAATTTTAGGGATTTGGGAGAAATTGGGGAAAAAGATGATTTAATTTGGGGATTTTGGGTAAAGTGGAAATTTATGGTTTAGATAGAATTAGAATTGGGTAAGTTCCAAGAAAAACAATTAGCTCAAGTGGTTTAGAGGTTGGGTTGACAAAGAATAGCCCGAGTTTGAAACTTAAAGGTTACAATTAAACATTAGGCTTGATTTTTAATTCTACACAAGAAAGGATTTTTGGTATGGATTGGCTATCTCCAATTTCAAAGAATACTTGGAAAATTTAGAGGGTTCACAAAGGGAAGGTTGCAAGAATGAACAAATACAAGGGTTGTAGGATTAATCCAAGCACAACTCATTCCAAAGATGGATAGCTAACGTCACAACAAAACTTATATGGCAAACTAAGGAAGTCACTTAGCAAGAAGAGATTACACTAAGCTCCAAAAGAATAACTACTCAAGAAAAGCATGCCAAGGATTGCCAAGTAACTCAAAGAGACAACTATGAAACACAAGATAACACTCAAGACAACAAAGAACACGATGCTCGCGGAAAACAAGGATAGGCTAGGAAAAAAGGTTACCTGCCAACTCTTCCTCCAACAAGCCCCCCGACTCAGCCTGTGAACGCGCCATCACGAAGACCCTTCCAGGTGGCCTAGGTCCAACTGCTCCACGACCCGAACCAACTCTCGATGCTCCTCCGGTTCCCGGGGGTGGCGGCAACGCTCTCTGACCGGCTAGCTGAGGACACTCCGCGACTTTGTGACCTCGATCTCCACATCGAAAACACCTAAGCACGTAGCCGTTGCAACCTTGACCCACATGCATCTTCCCACAACACTGACAAGGAGATGACTTGGCTTGGTTCCCGTGCTGCGTCCTGTTAGGTCCTTGAGATGAAGATGACACATTCTTGGCCTGGAAACTCGGTCTTGGCTTCTTAAAGGTAGAAGAACCTCCGCCTTCAGTCCTCTTCCTAGCTTGCTCGTACGATCCTCACTGAAGCTGTTGCACGCGATACAGATCAGCGGCACACACGTAAGCGTCCTTAAGAGAACTTGGCCTACTCACAGTCAAAGCTTTTCGCGCCTCATAGTTCAAACCGGCCACAAATTTCTTGACTTTAGCAAGTTCTGTAGGCACAAGCATCCTCGCAAAACGTGCTAACTCCAAGAACCTCTTGTGGTATTCAACCACAGATATGGATCCTTGCTGCAGGTGGAGAAACTCTTCATACAAGGCGGCGCACACATGTGCTGGGTAGAACCTCTTGCGCATTCTGTCCTTGAGCGCGGTCCAGTCGAACTCGGGTTCTTCAAGAAAAGCCGAACCTTCATGGACCCACCACAAATCCGCTTCATGGAAAAAGTAAAACGTTGCCAACTCCACTCTCCTCTCTTCGGGGCAACCCACATCGGTAAAGATCTTGTCAAACACCCGTAGCCACTCTTCCAAGACTACCGGGTCTTCCTCGCCAGCGAAGGTTGGCGGCCGATGTCCCGACACAAAACGTCCTATATCATGGTGCCCAGCAGGGGGAGGAGGCGGCACAGCGTGATTGTTGTTCAACAAAGCTTCACTGAGCGTCTGCATTGTCTGGGGCGACGGGTGGTGCCCCGTCCGCCGTTCCACCCGCGGGTACATGTCCTGTACCACAAAACACACTTTGCGGATTTTTCATCTCCAACTCAAATTCAAGTCCAAAACATGCCAAATCTCACCCAATACAACAAAATGACTTGAATCAAAGGAATAGCCAAGCAATGGCATACAAGAACCCTAAACACAAGCTCTAGATATGCATTTTCACAAGACAATGCATAAACACTCACATTTCATAGCAAAACACATGTAGAATCCAAGAAATCACATATAGGTAAGAAAAATAGATTTTGTAGAGCATGGGTTACCTCTTGTAAACTAAAGACTTCACTTTACACCTCAACAAGCTCCTCACAAGGCTCACTTTCCAAACCCACTTCAAGAACAAACCAAAAGATCATAAAGATCCTACCTTTAATAAAAGACAACTAAGATGGAACCAAAAACACAAGATGGACTTAGATCTTACCCTCCTAGATGCCCAAATAGGTGAAAGGTTGAATCTTGGAAGCAACTCTTGAAGTCTTGGCAAGGTCTCAACTTGGCTTGAAGGAAAAGCTACTCACCTTTTTAGAGAGAATGTAGAGCTAAACTTTTAGAAAGTGTAAGGGATAGAATGAAGATGTCTACTAGGTTAGGTTACAACACTAACACTATGTGTAAAGTCAAGAATTCCCTTACTAACATTAGGAAATGTATGGAACAAGGGAACTCCTTTCAAAGCTCAAGGTACAAGTTTGACTTTGGGATTGACTAGTCAAATACTAGTCCTCAAGTATTAAATTTCAGGATTTTAGGAATTAATTCCTTAATTGAAATAGGATTAATTACTCAATTAATCCAATAATTGAATTTGGATTTTGGGGTGTCACAGAGTACCACAAGAAGTTTTTGGAGTTGGCGCGTTTTGCTCGGATGCTCGTGCCTACGGAGCTCGCTAAGGTCGAGAGATTCGTTGCCGGCTTGAATTATGAGGCACGAAAAGCTTTGACAGTGAGTAGGCCAAGTTCTCTTAAGGATGCGTATCTGAGTGCCGCGGATCTGTACCGCGTTCAGCAGCTTCAGCGGGGATCTTATGAGCAAGCGAGGTAAAGGACTGAGAGCGGAGGTTCTTCCACCTTCAAGAAATCACGGCCGAGTTTTCAAGCCAAGAGTGGGCCATCTTCGACTCAAGCACCCAACCGGATGGAGCAAGGGAATCAAGCCAGGACATCTCCTTGTCATAGATGTGGGAAGGTGCATGCCGGTCAGAGTTGCAATGGTTTCACGTTGCGTTGCTTCCGTTGTGGAGATAGGGGCCACAAGGTTGCTAAGTGCCCTCATCCGGCCAATCAAAGAGCGCTGCCGCCACCCCCTGGAGTCGGAGGAGCATCCGGAAGTAGCTTGAGTCGCGGAGCAGCTGGGGCCAGGCCAGCAGGGAGAGTTTTTGTGATGGGGCGTTTGCAAGCGGAGACCGAGGGTTTAGTGGAGGAGGAGCTAGCAGGTAATCCTTTCCTAGCCTACCCTTATTCCTTGTGCGCATCTTGTTCCTTGTTACCTTGAGTGTTGTCCTGTGTCCTTTGTTTCATACTTGAGTTACTTGGCTATCCTTGTCATATATCGTTGATAATGATTCTTTGGAGTTGAGTGTAAGCCCTTCTTGATAGATTATTTCTCTAATTTTGTGGGTAAGCTTCGTTGTGAAAATAGTTATTTATCTCCTAAATGAATCATGCTTGGAATGATTCTACAATCCTTGCACTTGGAAATTCTTGCAACCTTTCCTTTGAGAACCCTCTAAATTTTCCAAGTATTCTTTGGATGTTAGAATAGAAAACCCATACAAAAATCCTATCTTGAGTAGCCTAAAATCTAAGCAAAACATTTAATTACAACTCTTGAGTTTCAAACCCGGGCCTAATCTTTGCCAACCCAACCTCTAAACCACTTGAACCAATTATCTTTCTTAAAACTTACCCAATTTTAATTCCATTTAAACCATAAATTTCCATTTTACCCAAATTCCCAAATTAAATCATCTTTCCCCAATTTCCCCCCCCAAAATCCCTAAATTCCCAAAGTCTTCTTCTTCTCTTTTCTCTACCCGTAAACCACCGAAACCCTCCCCACCCGTCGCCACTGCCTGCAGCCCGCCACCCCACCACCGACACAGCAGCCGCCGCACACGCAGCAGCCAGCCGCCACCGTCCGCCGTCTCGCCGCTGAACCGAGCGAGCTTCGTCGCCGAGATAGGAGAGCGCGAGAGAGGGGGAGCCACGGGGAGTGAGTGGAGAAGAAAGGAAAGATGTGGGCTTCGTTTGTTGAGCTTTGGGTCATCTCCTATCATGCCTAGAAGGTCAAGCTTGGCTAGAAAAGCGGAATGGGCGGATACCCATTACCTTGTTCTTGAAGGGAAAACCTTTGACCCGGAATCTTTTTCTAATTCCTTGTTGGATATGCTTAGATTCCAAGGTTTGTTGGATGGGTTTCTTGCCATAAGGGCCGAGACTTACCCGAGTTTGGTTAAGGAATTTTATCGTCACATGGTTGTGACAAAGGATGGTGATAAGCTGGAGATCACTTCTAAAGTGAGAGGTGTGAAGATAGTTCTGTTTGAAAAGAGGCTGGCTCAGCTTTTGAGTTTATCTGCTTCAAGAGTTGCTCAGTATAGCGGTAACTCATGGATTAGTACGGATACCATGGGGTACCGGGACTATTTGAGTTATTTGTTGGGTCGCACGAGTGGCTTCACTCAAGCTTGAAGGCCGGAGAAAAAGTGGTTGTCTGCGGAGCAGAGGATCTTGGTTATGTTGGTCTCGGATTGTTTGTTACGCAATAACAACAAGAGTAAGTTGTTGGGAAAGCTGGAATGCACCTTTGCCTTTTGCCTCAAGAATGTGGTTAAGTTCAACCTGCCAGCTTTGATGTTGCAACATATGGTTTTCTACTGTGATCACAACTGGAAAAGCCTACCGTATGGGATGGTGTTGAGCTGGATTCTGGTTAGGAAGGGTGTGAGTGTTGATGGCTGTCTATCGAAGGCTGTGGGAAAATTGGTGCTGGATACCACCAATCTTCGTAGTTGCAATCTGTTTCAATTGGATGATTGTGATTACATCACTCTTGAAGAAGTTGCAAGAAAAGCCCCTGAGGAAAGAGCTGAGTTGGCAACAGAGCTTGGGATCCATGCCGGGAAATTGAGCCTCGCAGTCCAGAGTTTGGGCAGTGATGAAGAAGATGAGGGTGAAGCAGGCCGAGAGGAGGAAGTGGGAGCGCCAGAAACTGCCGAAGCCGAAGAAAGTGACTCTGAAAGTGAAGAGAATCAAGAAGAAGGGAAGCCCGCACCAAAAGGGAGCATGATGCCATGTCACATGAGGAGCGCGTTGTCTCCTTGCTTCGTCAACAGAACAGTATGATTGAAGAAGGCTTCGCGTACATGAAGGCACAGTTTGTCGCAGTGAACCAGAGGCTAGACCAGATCGAAGCCGGATCAAGCCGTAGAGGAGAAGGTGAAGAAGAATCTGAGGAGTCCGAGGAGTCGGAGAGCGAGTCCTTCTAGAGCAGAGATGTGGCCGTCTTGTTTGCTCTTCTTTTGTTGTTGTTATCGTCTTAGCCGTTGTTACCGTTTAGTTGTTGCTTGCTTTGTATGCTTGTCTTTGCTTGTTGTTTTGTTGCTTAGTTAGCTTTGTAGTTGGTGTTTGGAGTTAGTTGCTTAGTTCTTAGTTGTTGTCAAGAAGTTGGTGTTTGTGTTGGGACTAGAGTCCGTTATGCTCAATATATCCGTTTGCTTGATTCTGGCCAATCCTTGTTTTGAATACTTTCTTGCCTTGAAATCTTGTGGAATCTTTTGGGCTTTTGACCAAAAGAAATTGTTCTTGACACTCTTTGTCACATTGTCGTTCTTTTTACCGTTTGTTCTAATTCGTCGTACCCAAGCTTCGGGGACGAAGCTTCTTTGAAGGGGGGGGGGGGAGAATGTGACACCCCGAAATCCGAATTCGATTAAGGGATTAATTAAGTAATTAATCATATTTCAATTTGTAATTTAATTCCTTAAATTCTTGAAATTTAATAGTCGGGGACTAGTGATTGACTAGTCAACCCAAAGTCAAAGTTGTACCTTGAGCTTTGTAAGGAGTTCCCTTGTTCCTTACACCTTTCCATGTTAGTAAGGGTATTCTTGACCTTTCACCTTGTGTTAGTATTGTAACCTAACCAAGTAAGAACATCCTCATTTCTATCCTTACACTTTCCAAAATCCTAGCTCCATCTTCTCTCTAAAAAGGTGGGTAGCTTTTCTTCCAAGCCAAGTTGAAGCTTTGCCAAGACTTCAAGAGTTGTCTCCAAGATTCTACCTTTCACACATTTGGGCATATAGGAGGGTAAGATCCATGTTCATCTTGTGTTTTTAGTGTTTTCATAGGTGTCATTTCTTAAAGATAGAATCTTTCTGATCTTTTGGTATGTTCTTGAAGTGGGTATTGAAGGTGAGCTTTGATAGGAGCTTGGTGCGGTGTTAAGTGAAGGTTTTTGGTCTACAAGAGGTAACACATGCTCTACAAAATCAATTTTGCTTACCTATATGAATATTTCTTGGATTCTACATGTGTTTTGCTATGAAATGTGAGTGTTTATGCATTGTCTTGTGAAAATGCATATCTAGAGCTTGTGTTTAGGGTTCTTGTATGCCATTGCTTGGCTACTCCTTTGATTCAAGTCATTTTGTTGTATGTGGTGAGATTTGGCATGTTTTGGACTTGAATTTGAGTTTGGAGATGAAAATCCGCGAAGGGATTTATTGTGGTACAGGAGTGTACCCGCGGGCGGAACGGCGGGTAAGAGGTCCACCCGTCGCCCACCCGGGGGGTACAGGCTGTTTGTGGGTATGTACCCGCGGGCAGAACCACGGGTAGGGGCCTACCCGTGGGTCCACCCGCGGGGTACAATGTGTGATTGTTGGGGGATTTGTCCCACGTGATTCTTTTGACTCGGTATTTGGTCTTTTGACTTCCCGTTATCCTTTTGTGGAACTATTTTAGTGTCTTCTTGATGTTTCGTATGTCTAGAACTATATGGTAGGAATCCATGTAGGTTTTGGTGTCTTGGATCGTGCTAAGTGTTCAACATTGTGTTTCGTTGAACCGTGATGAGTCTTGTGTGTTCTTCGGAACTATGTTTGGTTTACCCGTTTGATAAGCATGCTAGTTCGGTGTTTAAATACTAGCGTGTGTGTTGTTTGTACCTTCTTATTGGTTGATGATAACTTGTGTTATTCATCGTTGTTGTTGTTGGGCTGTGACCCATTCCTTGATTGAGTATGGTTTCATATCTTCGTTGTGATCCGTTGATTGATTCCTGTTGAGGTGTGATGTGTGTGTGGCTTTACCTGGATTGCACGATTAGTGGTATGGGACACTAGTCACCAAGGTATTGCCGTTTGTTGTGTCTTTATTCCTTTGAGTTATGCATGTCAGGTATTAATCTATTGTGTGATGATAGATTATACCTTGAGACTTCTTGTGAGTCGTTGTTCTTTGTAGTCTTGGGATGTGTTCCCGTGTTCTTGTTGAGAGTGTTGAGTCTTGTATTGACTATTACTCTTGGTTTTGGACTTATATATATATATATATATATATATATATATATATATATATATATATATATATGTATATGTATTCCGTTTCGAAAATGGCTTTACAAACTTATATCTTATCTATGTATGATATTTCACATGTATTGGTGGGTTACCAGCATTATTCGCTGACCGTGCGTCGTCCCATGTTTTATATGCTTCTTTCAGGTGATGCTTAGACGAGTGCGCAGTCTAGTCCAGCTAGTATAGCTCCCCTTTTATGTTTTGTGGCCTGCGAGCCAACCTAGACTTAGTACTCTGTGGATGGTTGTAGTTTTTAAACAATGCAGATTTAGCCTGTGCTTTCACCCTTGGGTGAGCGTGGCTGTAACACCCCGATATTTTTAAAACCTTTGAAGCAGCATAATAAAGATAAATAGTCATAAATCCCAAAATACGTTTACAGAAGCACGGGGTGTTATGCCACACCTGAGCTGGAGAACTCAGGTGCACAGGCTAGATTCTAACAATCTCAATAGGTACCAATACAAATCATGGCACGCAGGCCGAAAGGGAAGAACTATCTAAACTACGCCCCAACCTCTAGCGCGCTCCAGTGATCTACTCGTCCGTGCCTGAAAGCCAAATATATCTGTTCAGCGAGGGATGTTGGTAACCCACTCCAACGCGTTGAAATACAATACATATAGAGATATATATAGGTATACGAAAACCATTTTGAGCATGAAGATATATCCTACGAACTCTAGCTTTCAAAACCGGGAATGACTCGACAGGTAAGGCTAAACACAGGCAACAG